GAGGTTCCTGCTGTTCGTGCACCATGAAATCTTGCTTCATTAAATGTGTATTAATCTTGTCTCGTCTCATGGGAGGTACCTTAAGATGATGTTGTGTCTTTTTCTTTAAATTGTTGGAGGAAAAAAAAAAAAAAAATCTTCCAGATTTGGTTCCTGTCAGTCAGAAATAATTGTGTGCTTAATCTTGTCCCTGATGGATGACTTGGAGTTCAGCAATGGGCCAGCTCCAATGACAAATACAATATTAATATTCATTAACTGCTTTGACAATGCTAATTTTGATGCAGTAGTAAAGGGCCTTCCAAAGTTAGCGGCCAAAGCATCAGAGCTGAGCAAGGTGGCAAGATAATTTGTGCTGCTTTACTGAGCGGAAGGCTTTTAAAGTCTTAAGCAGGGGGAAAAAAAGGCTAGGTACCACAAACAAAATAAAAGAGAAAGGGAAAAAGTTCAGACGCATTGGAACCCAGGACTGTGGAAGTAATACGATCAAGAGACGGCTCCAAAAATCTGACACCTCCGATGCTGCATCTTTGAGCAAATATTTTTTTATTTAAACAAAACCTTGCAACAAAAAAAAAAGGAGCATAAGATGGTAAGTCAGCACTTTTCTCCATTTCTTCCCCTTTTTTTTTGTTTAATCTTTTTGATCTTTTCAATTATCGCCATTTGAAGATCAATAGTAATTTTTTTCTGCTGTGGTTAAAAGGCTCACAGCGGTGGTATGGTGGATGGTCGGATCACGGCTTTAAGAGTGGGCTTCCTCTCTTCAAGCCATCAGTTGGCCGGGTTGAATTTTTCTGTTGCCAGCATCCACGGCATGGATCCATTTATTTGTGATTTTCGGGGCTGTTTTAGCTGCCGCTGTTGTCTGGCAGCTCTGACTGGAGCCGGGGCTCCTCTTCTCACTCGTCTTGGGAGAGTTGAGGCGGGCGAGCTGGAGGTCTGAGCGCGTCTCCGCGCTCATTTGCAGACTCTGTGCTGAGAAATGCCCCGTTTCTTTCCCCCCTATTTTATTTTTTTGTTGTTTTGGCTTGCCCGTTTCCTCGCTTTGCGGGTCTGTTTTTTTTTTTCCGGGGCGTCTTGCATCAGAGTCGGGGGGCTACCGGCGGCCGGGACTCGGGGGGTGGGGGGGGGGGGGGGCCCCCCCCCCTGCCCCTGGACTGGAACACGTTCCGGAGGCTTTTTTTTTTCCCCGAGACACTTCATCTGCTCCGTGTTTGTGTTTTTGATTTTGCCTGTAATTTGGTGTGACTGGCGGTGAATGGAGCGTGGCCGGTTTTGGGGATTAATGACATGACGAGAGACACCCCGCTGCTTGAGTTTAGCCAAGTTAGGGCAACTCCTATAGACGGCACTCCACCACCTCTATGTCTGCCGCGCCGCTGAATGAGATCCTTTCTCTGGCCCTCTTTTTGTCGTTCTTTCAACTTATCAAAGAAAAGAGAGATGGACACAAAAGGGCTTTATTAGGGGGGATATGAAGATGGGCGAGGGGGAGAGAGGGTGCCCCGGTCAGAGCTGGAGGAGCGCCGGGCAGCCCGGGCGTGCGTGCGTGCGTTCGGGGGGGCAGGAGGCGGCCGCCACTAGCCGCTCGCCGCCCGCTCACCGCCCTGGCCGCTCTGGAACTTTAGGAGCCGGAGTCCAGAGCAGCGCAGCTCGGCTCTCGGCCGGTCCTCGGCTTCGCTATCTTATCGGCTTAACCCATCGGGCTTAAGCGAGGGGCTGCCGTAGATGAGGTGCTGCCCCCCAGTGGATTAGTGGCTGACATGGTGGTGGGAGTCTGCTTGGAGTCTGTGCACTACCACGAGTGCCAGCATGCTTGTTTTAACCAGGAACCGAGCAGCATCCCAAATACAGCTCTTTTAAATGGTAAGACTTTTCATCATTTTAATCAGCGTTGTTTCTTGTTTTCCGGCGCTTGTTTGACTTTGGATACTATGTTTTGCTTGAATTTATGCTCAGATTTGATTCTGGACTCCGTTTGGCAATTTATAACACTTATGTAGCTAAGTGACAGATTGACAATTTGGATAATGAAAGGCACTGTTTGATTGCTTTGTCCTGACAGCCTGACAGCGTTGTATTATTCCCACACATCAAACTAAATACGATTGTGCTTATTCTCTGAAAATACAATTCCAGATAAAAATGCCTAATTTCTTGCACTAAATCTTTGTAACATATATTTATATTTTCTTCTTTATTATAAAGTCATTTTGACTTTTGTTAGATTTAACATTAAGAAATCAGAGTTAAGATTTAAAGTTGAATTTTTTTAATCTTTTTATTTTTCATGGATTAAAGCTTTAAGTAATTCAATTTTTATTCAGATATGATTTTTTTTTTTTTTGTATGTCCTGGTCTTTTAGTGAATGCCACAGCTGAAAAACAGGACCGAACTTAAGACTATTGTTCCGTCGCTGTTTTTTGTCTAATTCTTCACACTCATTATAGAAAAAAAACAAATTAGTGAGGGTCATGGGTGGTTTCGTTTCCATGTGTTGGAAAACTTTGTCCTGGCTACTTTTCCCTTTTCCTGCAGACTTTTTCGGCTGTCGCGCGGACCTCTTTCACAGTGTAGTGGAATAGTGTTTTTTTTTTTTCTTCTTCTTTTTTTCGTGTCCCACTTTCTTGTGTGTTGTGGCATTGATGCCATTGTGGAGTGATTGTGAGCTGTCCATCACTTGGCGGTGAATTGGCAGTTTACTTAAGAAAGTGCACGTGGGACAAAGGGAGATGGCAGGAGCGTGGCGGGGCGGCTGAATGGAGGGAGGGCAGGCAATTAGCCACCGCCTTGTCGGAGCTCTTTTACTTGTCAAGCCGGAGCCCCAGCGCTATTGTCCAAGTTGTGTAAAGAACATTCTCTGGGCTTTGTTTTGGCTTTAAGGGCCTCAGGACTGCCTGCTGCAGGCCAGGAGAAGAGAGAGGGGCTCTAACAGCGAAGGAGAGGCTGAAGCAGCGTGTTTAGAGAAAAGTTGCCTTTTTTTTTTTTTGGATAATGTAAATGTCTTCATGGGGATGCACACACTTTAAAAAATATTCGTTTAAATGACTGAATTTTAAGTTCCATGCTGTCATCTTTTTTTTGTTCTCGTTATTTTCACCGATTGGGTTTAAATTAAAATGCCATTTAGTTTGCATAACCAGAAATAATTTATTCAATCAATATTTAATATGTCATGGACATTAAGTTCAGGCAGTTAGAGGTTATAATTAAAAAATCTACTTAGTGGAATATGTTAAGGAATATTATCTTAATATTGTAATGGTTCCCTTAATAACTGTTAACTTTCATTTTATTTTGAAAACATTATTGTTAAGAAAAATACATTTTGGGTTGTGTTTTAATTTTATCTCCAATTAAAAAAGATATTTTAAAATAATAATAATCCCTTCATATTGGAATTTAATTTAGCACATCTTGTTTTTCTCTCTTCTTCTTACCTTAAAAAAATATAAAGAAAAGAAAAAAAATCTGCAGCTTTATGTTTATTATAATTAAACCAAAACTAAACATGGTCACATTTAAGGGCACCTTCAGCTTTTGACAGTACAAACCAATGCAATGTTCGATTTTGTTTGAAGGAATTTTTTTTTGCTTTTGATGCACCTGTATTTGCTGAAAATGTCTTTGCTGCCTTTGAAAAAATCGTCTTGACCAGATGAAGCTTGTTGTTTGATTTTCCTATTCAGGGTAATAATTGTTTTGAAGGTGAAATAGTTGCGGTGAAAGGAGAGCGGGGAGCGGAGGGCTGTGAGGGGGGGCTCCAGGCCTTCTTCACATGGACCTTGAATGGAGTTGAGTGAGGTTTTAGGGGGGGGGTCGGTGTTGTTCCCCACTCTAAGGTATTGTTTGGGAAAAAAAGAAGAGCGGGGAGGAGAAGAATCAAATTTTAGAAAAAAAAGAAAGAAAGACTAGGGGGAAAAACCCCACCACGTCCATGTCAGAGTGAAGACTTTCTCTGCTCAGTCTCCCCCCTGGAAAGTGGGCATGAAGAGGGGACTGTCAGCATCACACAGATGAAGTGACTGTTGGCCGCACTTTGCTGAGCCTGCCCTCCCTTTGTGGATGTTGTTGTGTCTTGTTCTTTTTTTTTTTTTTTCCTTCTTCTTCCATTTCTCGCTCTCCTGCTCTCTCGTCTTTGTCTCCATCTCTCGCTTTTGCTCGCTTTACCTTGTAGCCAAAGCTTTTCAAGCTGCCAGTTCGTCTCTGGGCATCCTGCAGGCGCGGCGGAGCCCACACACATACACACACACACACACACACACACATTCTCCTAACAATCGCATACACAGACCTAACGTACAGCGGGGATTTGGGTAATAACCGATTTTTTTTTTTAAATTTTTTTGGGGGGCTGGCGTGTGTGTGTGTTTTGTGAGTTGATTGTTATTTATTTTTTTTCCCTTCCTGAGTGTTTCTGGTGGAAACCTTGCTGCAGTTGTGAGGAAGCTGCTCATAGTCATTCATCTTTCCTCCTGTCCACGTTCTGGCTCTCGCCGCTTGCTCCTCTTTTTCGCCGGCATCAAAACTTTCCCCGAGACGGAAGAGGGAGACTCCTGCCCGCCAAGAACAAGGGACTCGCTCGGTTGCAGGGGAAAAGATTCGGGGGTTTTTGATATATTTCTTTTGGTACGGGACGGACGTGGGTGAGTGTGCACGCGCTTAGGGAGCCGAGGCCTCCCACCCCGAGCACGCTTTACGCCTCCAGAGATCTGTGCAGTCTAATGTCAGAAGCCCAGGGAACAACGGCCAGCTGAGGGGACTGTAAACACACACACACATGTCCAGCGACACACGCGCACGCTGTGGAGGAAGCAGCCAAGACCAAAACAGACAAAGAAGAAGAAGAAGAAGAAGAGGAGGAAAGAAGAGGCCAAGACAAGCAAAAGGGGCTTCTCCCCGGCGTAGGCAAGGAAGGAGGAGCTGGGGGGTAGGAGGGGGGTGCCAGGTGGAAGAGAGAGAGAGAGGGGGGGTATAGGGTGGGACAGAGGGGGTCATGTACCCCCGGGATGGAGCTCCAGCCGAGGCAGAGGAGATGGGAGCCAGGGCAGGAGTCGTAGGCCCGGGGGGGTCTCTCCTCCAGCAGGTGGGCCGCTGGCACCTCAGCCTGAGCAGCTGGGTGAGTAACGCAGCTCTGCCCCCCCCCCCCATATCTGTTCCTCAGCACCCAAGGTGTTTGGGAGTGTTCTGACAGGTGATTGTTGGGCCGAAGGGGGGGGGGTTAGTTGGCAGTGAGGATACGATCTGTGCTGAAGCAGTGGTGGTCTTATTGATCTCCCAAAGTTTTGCCTTTGAAAAACCTCTAGTGACATTTGTATTCATATATGCACACGCATGTCATGAATGTATGTTATTAGCAGAATTTGAGATATCGACGTTTTATTGTCACACATTACAACTTTGAAAAATAATGATTCTGAAGCCCTATTGATAAACATAATGCACAACAGATTTAAAGTAATTGAAAGGGTAAATTTGCTGAGACACGATCCACTTAAGGCAAATATTATTTACTTGACAAAAAACGTCATTTGATCAAGCTCATGCCTTAACCATGAAATGTAAAATAAGATTTCAATAACCCCACAGATTAACATATTCCTTTGTTAATGTTGCCACCCAATTCAAATTCTTAATTACTTGGCTTTCAACTGAAATTCTGAAGGGTTGATTGCATTTCAAAAGGCAGAATTCAGCCTGGCTCTTAACACTCTGATGCAATATCACCTCTCAGAGAAGCCCCTTCTACTCAGGTATGGGAGTTCAAGAGCCTGTTTACCCTGAAAAGGGAAGAGCTTTAACACACGTGCACGTCTAAGAGGCGATTTGTCTTCACAGAATACAACAGTTCTGCCGAATACCACTTCATATTTAAGCTATTTGTGCGCAGTTTTATTTATCTGTGACATATCAGAACATGTCCTTTCTGTGATTCTATTTGATGTGCCGACTATCAAAGATGGGAAAGATGGGAAGTGAAAATAAATGGTGACGAACGACTTGAGTGCTAGTGAAGAGAGCAGGAGGAAGGGGTGCAAAGGCTCTGGCCCACATAATATTTTTGTTCAGCGCTCTGATCAAGCAGTCGGCATGTCACTGCAGCAAAGTGAATAGATTAACTTTTAAATATACTGTGGTCTTGGGAGCCTCTTGCCCTGAGAGACGCATCTTCTCAGCGAGAGAAGACGGATCTGCACCTCTGTGTCTGCTTTTCATCGTTTTTATCAGATTGTTTTCTCTCTTTATTTTGCCCAAAATATACATCTAAAATGTAGCAGGGTTTGGATTAGCATGGCGTGCTGGTAGACGATAACTGGGAGAAGTCTGTAATTTGTCTGAGCTTTTCACGTTCCATTTCTCTGAGTGTCTATGAAACCCTTTAGATTGTCAGCTTGAATCTGAGGAGGAATTTGACTGTGCTTGCAGGGCTTCATATACACTACATGCATACTTGTGAGTATTAGTAGTTATGAAACAGGCTTTACTTGGAGATGAGAATCTTTAGCCTGGAGGGGGCACTCTATCCCTCCCAGAGGATAACAGAAATTGTGTGTAAACAGATTGAAATAAGACAACATTGAATGAAACCAGATTATACATAAGACTCAAACGGCCTTTTGCCTTACTGTTCTCCTGTTGACACTCAAAAGACTGAATGAGGAGTGACGCAGCTCCTCTCATATGTGTGTGTGTTTGCTTGCATGGTGTCACATGGGTGTGTGGGACACTCTGGAAGCTTTTTCTGCTTGCTTTGGAATTTGGAGGACCCCCCCCCCCTCCAATCCATCACGCCACTGTCATTCCGGCATCTCGCTCCCCTCTTTCCAGCCTCACTACAGCTCATTAGCGCCCCGCAAGCTGTTGTGACAACTCATCATATCATGACATAAAGCAGAAAGACAGGGGCTCCAGCCCCCTGCCCAGCCACCCACCGGGCCCACGAGGTCGCCACCTTCACATTTAGGCCTCAAATTGGCCCAGCGAGGTGCCACCAGCCGGAAATGGGAGGCCAACAGTATTTTCCTGTCCCTCTTCCACCTTTTTTGTGTCCCTTCCTTTGTCTTACTCTGTCCTGCTGTCACTTTTTCTCCTCCCATACCCCCTCAAAATCCCCAGAGGCTTGACTTATTCATTTGTCCACTTCCCAAGGACTCTCTTTTTTTTTTCTCCTGGTGAAGCTGCATCAGTTCACCATGCTGCAGGAAATATTTTACCCTTCTAACACTTGTGGAGTGTTTAAAGAGAGGCACTAGTGCGTTGGATATCTGGGGCTTGTCCATATAGAGGAAATATGGAGATGCACTATTATAAAATAGCAGCAGCCACAATGGTCCTTCTCCATAAGATGAAATGGATTTTTTTCTTATGCATGTACTCTTCTGTTCTGGTGGTTATACGAGTCTTGCAGCTGGTAGACGAAAAATAGAATGGAGTAAATAGAGCCAAGGTAATATCAATAACATAACCAGAGGCTATAACTACTGCAGCTAAAGTGTGCAGTGTGGATTTCACTGCGCTGGCCTTCCTGAGCAACAGGCGCCATAAAAGTCCTGGATGTGAAAAGAGTAAATGTCTTCATTGATGTTCGTACAAGAGGGCGCCCTTAAATTTTTCTTAAAGGGCTCTTGAACACCGCATCTTTTCTGTGTCGAAAACTCTGTCATTTTTTCTACAGTAGAGCGAGTTTGTCCTCTGCTATTATTGTTTGTTCTGAGGACGGAGGTGGAGGGAAGGATGCGAGTCAGCTGGGGTGGAGGGGCAGGAAGTGATTTAAAAAAAAGTTTTATTCCCCTGGCTTTTGTGGAGCAGAAGGAGAGGAAAGCCTCCCACGTTGCCTGCCTTTGTCTCCCGGTATTCTGTGCAGCTGAAGCAGCCTGCCAGACGTCCAGTCCTGGGCTCGTATTGTCCCCCTCGCCGGCCACCCAGGGCAGGTGCTGGCCCTCCTCTCTGCAGGGCCAGCCGGATGCTGGCAGGGGATGTTAGTGTGTGTGTGACCATCCCTCGGCATGCCTGAGCCTGGATGAGAGCTGATTAAAGACAGACTGATGAAAATCTGAGTCAGAAAAAAGTCAGTTTAGGATCATTTAGCATGAAAACCCCTCAAATCCTTCCTAGGAAAACTGGAGTTTGTCAGCCACACTGGGCTGACTGGCAGCTGTCAGCGAGTCTGTTTGCATTTCTCTGGGCTTTTTCTCTGAGCGAGCACACTCTTCTACCACAGGCAACTGGGATGTTAATCCTCTGGCCTCTGGCCGCTCTCCCTGTCCCCCACACCACCTCTAACCCCCTCTGTCTAAATGTGGACTCGTCGGATGGGCATTTTTAACCGTCCCCTCAATGGCTGAGGTCCCTGGACCAAAAGAGCTCATTTAAATGGTCACTAAAGCCTCTCAGCACACAGAGATGAAGAATTGACAACATTCTCTCACATCATTACCTGAGGGAGGAGTGGTGGTGAGGAGGTGAGGGACATAAGAAGAGGATGTTATTCTTCCAGTCTTTAGCACTTTCCTTTTTTTCCTCCTTTTTTTAAGCCCGCTGTTCTAGATGTGTGGACCAGATTGAGGTCCCAAACAAATGTTTTGGTTTGTGATTCTATTCTCCAATCCCCAATGCACCTACTGCCCCACCAGCTCTGATAGACAAACACGCACAAACCCCCACCCGTCCCAAACCCTCTCTCTCTCCCTCTCCCTCTCTCAAGCCTTTTCAGCTCAGGGCTGTGAATGAGTCCCAGGAGTCCTTCTGCCTCCCAGGAGTTCTTCTGGGGTTCATTAATCTTTCATTGGGACCACGGCAATAGGGAATGCCCCCCTTCCTCCCTTCCACGCACACTCCTACCACCCCCCGCCACTACCACCACCATAGAACGGAGGTCTATGTGACCGCGCTTACACCAGCCATAAAGACGGACGGCTTTAGCCAGTAAAAATGTGTAATGGGGCTCTGAGTGGACAGTTGTTGCTCTGGGCTCTCCCACAGAGTTATAAGTAATATTAACTTTGGTTTGGACGCGCCATTAGCTTGCTGCATGAGGCCCTGCACATATTTGTCTTGCCACGGGCCCACAGTTTTGCATTTGTATTGTCAATGAGCGTCAGGCAACCGTGCATCTTGTGTGTGTGTGTGTGTGTGTGTGTAGCCCCCCTGCCAACATCTAGCCCCATTAATGTTTTTCAAAGTCTTTGGAAATGTGCCACAGCGGAGCGTTCTTTCTTTCTTGCATGGGTTAAAGTCACTAATGAGGGTGTGTGGCCTATGAGAGAGGAGCCTGAGCACACACACACACACACACACACACACCAGCAGTTTGGTGTCTCACTCCTCTTCTCCCTGAACGTATCATCCATGTTATGATAAGCCTGATTAGTGCTGCTTCTTTGACTGCTGAGGGCAGGATAAGGATGTGTGGGTAAAGAGGCGAGAGCAGTCTCTGCCACCAGCCTAATCTACAGCAGCGCTCTAATCTGGTTATCTTGTGTTGGGGGACTGTGTATTAGGCTGTGTCCCGGCCTGGCCTGATGAGAGGGGCTGAGCTGCTGTTAACACAGGGGCCCACGGCAGCACACCCCTAAAGCTCCACTGTAATCTTTGGGTAATTGAAAAAAAGGGGGTCTGCACCACTTAGGAGCACAAAGAGAAGATTACATAGCTAAAACTAATTTGGCAAAAATGCAAAAATGGATTTTCAGCCCCACCTCTTTTCCCCTAACCCTTTTATTACAATGCACCCATACCCTCCATGAACAGGGCCCCCCGGGGGGGAAAGGGGAGCGGGGATGGAGGGCGCTTTGGAGAGCGCGGCAGACTGGAGCTGCTTATGGCTGTAGATTTGCTTTGCGCTGCCTTGATTTTCGTGGTTTGCAGATGATCGATTACTTCACTGCGACCGTGGTTAGAAAAGTGTCTCATCACCCATCAAACTCGTATGTGAATTGGCAGCCTCACAAACCTCTGAGATTGTGTTACTGGATTTCATGGCGACACCGCAGAAGTGTTTTTAATTACAAACCATGCTATTTTCACTGTGGTTTGGTGGTTTGGCACCCCGAGTGTCCCCTGAATTTGATAGCTTTCCTCTTAAGAACTTAAGAGGAGCTTTAATAACTTAAAGAACGAAAGCCTTTAGCAGGCGCCTGCAATCTCAGCCCAATTATTAATCCCATTGCCTCTTCTTGTCCCCCTTTCTGTCTGTCCCTTTTCTTTTTCTCAGTCTAATAAGGTTCCAGTGGTACAGCACCCCCACCATGTGCACCCTCTCACGCCCCTGATCACCTACAGCAATGAGCACTTCACACCGGGGAACCCCCCACCTCACCTACAGACAGACGTGGATCCCAAAACAGGTAAAGTGCTTTTCGCATCCAGCCATAGGTAACTAGAGAGGTCGGGTCTCAGGTAGCAGAATGGAATCTGATAGTAGTGGCAAGCCCACAAAAACCTGCCTGAAATACCTTTGGAATCCAGCACAATGTGTTTCAGAAGTGTGAGACTGGGAGAGCTGCAAACTAATATGTTTACAACAAACTGAGTCCCAAGAGAGGAATAAAACAAAGAGGCAGCTGTCCTTAAAAAAAGGGACACCAGATCTTAGAGACTGTCAGCAAAGATAGCTGTTGAGATGTTTTTTGATGTACCAATGTGGTATTGATTTACACCCTCTTACTTTTTAGTTTTAGTTTTTTAGGGTACATTCATTTATGTCAAAACAATTTCAGAAATTTAAATGATTTAATTAAAGGCAATATAAAAATGGATAAAATAAAGTTTTCTTTTAACCATTTAAATCTTCAATTGATGATACCATAAAGATGTTTGCACTGTTCCCTGTTGTCTGTGACAGTTAAAGGAGGACACGGTCAGCTCATGGGCGTCTTTGTGGAAACCTGCAGCTCTCATCTGTTTCCACCCGATTCGGCTGTGTCACGCTCATTAATGTGGTTTGGTTTTCAGTGGAAAGTGGCCTTTTATTCGAGAACAAGAACCTGAGCAGAGGCTCATAAACTTCTCGTAAATCCTGGAATTTAGCAAACAACCTCAAACTCCCATGACCGCAAATCCAATTGCCAATACGGAGCACAAGACGGCCACTGTCGCTGGAGCTGCTGGCATTTATGTCCCTGAGAGAAGCAAACACACTGCGTCATTAAGTATGCTTCTTTGGAATTATGTGTTCCTCTTAGTATGCAGGACACCTCAGAGTTTTCTTCTTTTTTTTTGCGGCCTGTTGATCCCATTGCTTTGGTGTTTTGGGGGAATTTTCAGTGACTTCCAAAACAGTCTTGACCCGCCTCTTCATTTTCTGACCTGTCATTCAGCCCATTCTTTTAGGTTAATGCATTTCCAGTGTGGTGAATAATTTCATGCTTTTTTGTGGTCTTTGGTGGTTTCAGTCTGTTTTAGGTAATAATGTTCCCTTATTATGATGGCCCCTTACAAAGGGGAAATAATGCGCCAGCTGCTGTTTAATGTAGTGCTTAATGGGGCTGCTTAATTGGGCACAGTGTTTAATTAATTAATGAGTTATGTTAGGTCTTGAGCGTTTCGTGGCAATGGGATAATGTTCCCCACATTGGTTCTGCCTTTTTATTTGGAGATATTTTTTCTTTTAATGTAATACTTTAAGCTAAGACTGATCACATCAGCAGTGACGCTGTCAGGTCCCACATTAGATGCAGCTTTGAGAGCAAAAACCAACGTGTTTTTAAGTCCTGTCGTGTTAAAATGAATTCGACTTCGGTATTGTCCTTAGTCGAAATATCTTCAACAACAACTGCACGGAAAAAAATAACACATTAGTCGAATCCGACCGACTCTTTCAGGTCCACTGTGTTTTCCTCCTAGCCTCCTAGCCTCATAATCTGTCTCAGGTTTTTTGTTTATGTAATTCCAGGTAAAATCCAGAACACTGTAGAGAATTAGCAGACAGACTGCCAATCTCATTCGAGCGCATCTCTGATCACAGAGACGGCGTTTAATTATATTTCCGTGTTTTATTAACATCTGAGCCTAATCTCCTGATTTGCCAGACAAATGTGACAAGAATGGCGCTGGTGTTTTCTCCTCATCTCTTTCTCTTCTGCCTCTTTCAACACATTGTGCTGCCGCGCCGCCTCAAAGCCCTTTGATCAGGAAGTGTGATTTTTAGCACTGTGTACACGCGAGCAACAAGCCCTCTACCTCCCATCCGCACCCCTGTGATGTCTGCCCCGTTCAGACTTGAAAACTCAACAAAGAATCCAGCACTGACAAATATATCTGGTTCTCTCTCTGTCATTGTCTCGTCTGTCCACCTCCTCTCTGCTCCCGTCATCTCCCGTTTTTTTTTTCACAGGAATTCCGAGGCCTCCGCATCCTCCAGACATATCTCCTTATTACCCGCTGTCACCTGGCACCGTCGGCCAGATCCCCCATCCGCTAGGATGGTTAGTACCACAGTAAGCAACGCCTTTTTTTTCTTACTCTTTCATCTGTGTTCTCTTGATGATGTGAGAAAAGCTAAAGGAATTGTTCCTGTTGTGGTTGATAAGCATGGATGAGATGGATATTGGACGCACAAAGGGAAAAAACTCTGAACTTTACATGTTCCAACAGCGGCAGGATCTCGGAATACGTGTGCTCCACTGTGGAAGCCTGTTTGTGTGGGTCTTCTAACTCTAAACTTAAACTCAACCCCCTAAATTTTCAACGCGAGCCCTGCACGTTGGAGCTTCTGGGGCCCTCGCCGACCTCACCTTGCTATTTTGTGGCAAATACTACTTTGCATGTCCATGTATGGTTCAATTAGAGTAATGAGCTGTGATTGCCAGTATTTTAACCACAATTCCTCATAGGGGCTCTCCCCTGGTAACTCTTGTCAACACTTGTTAATATGACAAAAGGCTACAAATTAAGCTCTGTTAATTTAATGTTTTCTCACCGCGATCTAAATACCGAGAGAGGCCCTGAGCGCAGTCATGGCGCCCTTTGATTTGCTGCACTTTATTTTGGTATAAATTTACATTCATTATTGTTTGTCTTTGGATGTGTAGACCTCAATTAGTGTGATGGCTCCATTAAAGGGACCCGCGCTTCGTCTTTAATTATCACAACAAAACACCTAGTTCCAGCTTGGGGAGGAACAGGGCCCCACTCCGTCGGCGCAGAGCGAAGGGTTATGAAATTTAATTAGCCATCGCTATCAAGATTTGTGGCATTCAAATTGTTCAGAGTTTTCCTCCCTTTGATCTGCGCTCTGCAATCCCCTAGATTTTTGTCCTGATCAAATGAGAATAAAGAGGCCTGCGATGGGGAGTGGGACATGGGGCTTAAGCTTCTCCTCTTCCATCAACCTTGTTCCTTTACCTTTTTCCCTTTCTTCTTTTCTTCCCCCTTCCTAGGCAAGGTCAACCTGTTTATCCAATCACAACAGGGGGTTTCAGACACCCCTACCCAACTGCGCTCACTGTCAACGCATCCATGTCAAGGTGAGTCAAACCTTAAGAGTTGAACACGTACACCCCCACACGCTCACTGGAGTTTTTCTGTCAGGTGCACGTGCACGAGCGTGCAGCACACCACCGTGAGCACAACGTTCTCCCTTAAGGAACGCTCACCCTCCCCGTCTCTGTGTTCAAAAGGCCAATTCTCCAGTGTGGGACTCCAGCTAGCGTGCTCAAATATTAATTATATTTATCATTTTTCTAATGAGGCCCCTGAAGAACATTTACCCCCCCCCCCCCTCTCCTCTGCATGTCAGGCAGAGCTGAAATGAGCTGGGGCATGTCCTCGCTGTGTGTTTGAGCAGCCAGACAGATAAACAAACAGCTACTCTTTAAGCTGGGGTCCCACACTTGGCCGCTGCTTGGGTCCAGCCCATTAGGGTCTGGTTCAAGTGCCTCTGTGGACATTAGTGCACCCGTGGGGAGTAGGTGTATTTGTTGACATTTTGTATGCATGTGGGTGTGTGTGTGTGTTTGTTCATTTGACCGTCTGTGTTTTACGGCTTATCGTTCCCTTGAGGAACGCGTGTCCTCTATATTGTGTGGAAAGTGAATCTAATTCATTTTGGGTGCCTAAAAGCCCACGATTTGCAGGTTTGGGTGAGCCAAAAAGGCACACAGGCCAAAAAACAAAAACAAACAGCTTCCCACTCTCCCCACTCCCACTGCTCCACCCTCTGTGAGCCCCAGCAGCAGGGGCCTGTGGACAGGGCTGGTTTAGAGGGGAGGGATAACGCCAAGCTTCAGTTTAATTACAGTCTGATAGGGAAAGCAGCTCCTGAAGACGCTTTGTCTAGACCTCTGTGAGAGTGATGGATAATGCTGGACCCTTTTTAAAAAATAAACCTTTTTTAAGATGTAGTGGAGCGGAAAAGTTTTAATTTGGAGATTGTCCAGAGGGGTTATTTTGCATTTTATTCTTCACATATAAACCCTATCTTGCAATAACTTCACCTTTTTAAACTCAATGGAGTGGTGTCTTGATCAGAGTCAGAATTCCTTTTTGAAGCTCTTCACCAGTTAGTGTCAAGTGCAGATGGTGGATCTGTCCAGACGTTGGCATCTGGCAACAGGACCCAGTCGACCTGGGCTTTAAGTGACTGCTAATTTGGTCCCTTAATGAGAGCCTCTACAATGTGATCATCTTATTTCCAGTGCAGCTAATTGAATATACTGGCTGGGGTGTGGGGGGGGACTGGCCTTGGGGAAGAGCTAATGCCCTGTGATGAGGCCCCTAATTGAATTAGTATAACTGAATAGATGGAGAGCTCTGGGAGTTCTCTTGAGCGAGGGGAGGGTTTAACACATCGCCCCACCCTCAAAGAACCCCATACTAGAGTAAAGGCGACCATTTAAACAGCTGACAAAATCTACTAACAATTTATCAAATCGTGCCTTATTTTCTACCTTGCCTTCAGCTAGGTGGTTTAATTCAGAGGGGCTGTTGTTGATACAGTAGCTGAGACGATTTGTATCCTCAAAAGAAAATCCCGGCCTGGTGCTCTTCTCAGGAGTAAGTTCTTTGCAGGAGAGCCTACCTATCAGTCCCCTTAGCTGAAACGGAATTAGGATTCAGAGTCCACCACCTCACCGTCCCACTGTGACCACCTTACCTCACAGGTCCAGCTGAGGGGAGAGGACAAGCCCAACAGTGGGGCACATTAGAGATGTCATTAGGAAAACGGAGTCCCCTATATTGTGCACGTGTGTATATGCATGTTGGACAGGTGGGTGGATGCAATGCCCCTTAACCCCTTATGCTTTAGCCGGCCCTTTGATATGCCCCCCCCCCCCCACATCATCCTGCTCCCTTTCTTTTCCTGGGGAACGGGAGAGTGCCGGGGCCAGATCGTTACGCTTTAAACAGGCGGGGGGGGGGGGCTAGCGTCTCACACCGGCAATTAAACGGGCGCTGGCTGACACTGGGCCTGCTACGCCGGTGCCCCCCCTCCCTCACGTCACCGCCCACACATGCACACACCCCCCCAGCCCGCCGGCCGTTCTTACCTCTTAAGATTGAGACGTCGGGGCCCCGGGGCGGGGTGACCGGCGGCGGCCCCCGCTGCTCTCCCTCCCTGCGTTGTTTAAATTGGTCGGTGCTGATGAGCCCGGCCATCGCGACGGTGCCCCCACCCTTCAAAGGGCTGGCCGTCATGTTTAAACCATAACCTGGGCCACGGACGAGGGGAGGGAAGAGGGGAAGAAGCGAGGGAGTGTAGAGGTGGTGAGGGGACAAGAAGGAGTGGAGGAGAAGAAGGGCAGGGGGAGAAAAAAAAAATAGATCTCGGAACAGAGGAAATTTTAACAAGTGCACAGAGAGAGAAGGAGGGAGGGCGAACAGGGAGAGAGGAAACGGGAGTGAGTGAAGAAAACACAGCCCTAATGATGGGCGATATGCAGCCACTGCTGCCGAGCTCCCCATCAACGGATGACATGGCACAAACACCAATGTGTCAGTGATGAAGGGAGAAGAGGGGAAAGGAGGAAAAGAGTTTGAGGGGGAGCACTGGCACTCCCCTGAGATGGCCTCCAACAGAAACTAGTTGTTCCTGGCGAGTTTATCCTCATCATTATATTCTGGCTCGGAGCCATGCAGCCAGACACAGCCAGATAATGAGCTGCTTTAAAAAAAAAAAAAAAAAAAAAAAAAGAATTATTCCTCCTTTTTTCCCCTCTCCTTCATCCTTTTCTCCTCTCTGAAATTTATGCATGGTCACGTGGAACCAAGGCCCCACATTTTCAACATACACACGCGGATGCATGTTCAAATAATTAGTATCTCACACACAGACACACACATGCAGGGTGGCAGCATCTCACGGCTGCTGCGACCAATGAAACAGATTCTTAAACAAGGGATTCTGGCCCAGATATGTGGAGCAGTTGGAGTCCGTGAAATGATGATCGGAGAGTGGAGGGATGGAGATAAAAATGTCAGCAATGCTGACAGTGCTGAATTAGCAAAAAAAAGAGTGGGAGGCTGCAAATGGAGACCCAAAATCTGGAGTGATGCTACTCTGAGAGGACAGTTTCATCTCTTTTGCAGTATTTCCCGATAAGAGATAATGATGCGAACTTTATCCTTCTTAAATCCGGCTTTTTCATATCAGTAAAATAGTTCATTCAACAATGACCCTCTGTTTTTTGCAAATTATTAAAAGAAATCCAAATCTTTTTTGAGCTCCATTGGCCTAAACCTTTAAAGTGACCAGTGCTGTATTAGATACATTCTAATGTCTAAGATCAGCTTCCGTAGGCGGTGCTGATACACCCAACCACAAAACAGACCTTACCTGAGCCCATGAAGAGGATTCTCATCTAAATTCCACAGGATAGCCTTGTTGAGGACATTATTATTTATGGCTATGAGTGCATGTTCATGTGTAAAAATGAAAAGTTTTTATTCTGTTGTATGTGTGTGTTTTTTTACATTGTAACTGTTGAAAGTATTGTGCTGCTCCCGTTGTACTAACTGAAGGGCACAATCCACAGCAGTTCCAACATTCCAGCTGGATTCTGTTCTTCAGTGAAATATCAGTGAAACATCTTATCTAGCGTTCATTTGCAATGAAATTTAAATTCAAATCGGTTGAAATTAGCACAGAAGCCAGCTTTGGACATTTGCATGTTTCTGTGTGTGTTTTCTGTGGCTCAAATCCATTTGCATGCCAGGTGAAGAGCCTATGCACTTTGAAGCAACGTAGAAATTAAAATGGAATCTGGCCACAGCTGTAAAGTCTTGTTTGTGCTCCATCTTCTCATTTCACCCATGTCCATTCTGACGATTTACACAGTCTTCTGTCCTCTAGGTTTCCCCCACACATGGTGCCCCCTCACCACAGTTTGCACACCACGGGCATCCCCCATCCAGCCATCGTCACACCCAACGTCAAGCAGGAATCCTCCCACAGCGACATCAGCTCCCTCAACAGCTCGTGAGTACACCAACTCCCTAACCCGAGTCCTCGCTTCCCTCCCGAGGTCAGAGGTCACACCCCGCTCATCTCTCGCTGCCCTCTGCCCCGTCACAGGAAACAGTCGGACGCTAAAAAGGAAGAGGAGAAAAAGAAGCAGGTCCACATAAAGAAGCCTCTGAATGCCTTCATGCTCTACATGAAGGAGATGCGGGCCAAGGTGGTGGCTGAGTGCACATTGAAGGAGAGCGCCGCCATCAACCAGATCCTGGGCCGGCGGGTGAGTGTTAGGTCCAGTGTTAGGTCCAGCGCACTCCTACCAGACTCAAACCGAAAACCCAGGACTTTCCAAACTGATCTCTTTTCTCCGTGTCCCCTCCCCTCACAGTGGCACGCCCTATCACGGGAGGAGCAGGCCAAGTACTACGAGCTGGCCAGGAAAGAGCGACAGCTCCACATGCAGCTGTACCCCGGCTGGTCAGCACGAGACAACTATGTAAGTTTTTAAGTTTACAAGTCGTAACCGTGTGTTCTTCTCCCCTTCCATCAGGTGTAGACACACAGGAAACTTTTCTGATGTGTTTTGGTCTCATAAGGCTCGAGACAACAGGTTCTTCTTAAAAGTTCCTTCCATTTACTTTCCTCTTGTTTTTCTTTTTGGTGTTAAGTTTAGTACATGCAACAAATCCCTAGGTTTAATAAAAGTTGAATCAAAATCTGAAATTGTTGTTTTAGAAAATCCTACAGTTAACACTGCAAGTCTGGTTCTGCACTTTAGATTACCGAGACTGATGTTACATAATGAATGCTTTCCATGGGTTCCATCCTGAAAGCTCTGCAGTGGTTTCAGTTTGCAGTTCAGCGTAGAGCTAAAATGTCATTCAGTCAGTTTTTCTGTACTGGGTACAAAACGAATGAATAACTGCTAGTTTTCAATAAGGGGACCCGAATTTTGCCATTCTGCAAACCATCCTCGCTTTGATAATTTACATTTACATCCTGGTGATGTTTTTGGATTTGGTGCGTGTTTTTAAATGGGGACTCTTCACCAAGAAGTTTGGTCAACAGCCAAACAAAGCTCCCTCACAACTCTGAGCCACATTTAGTTTTTCTTTCCCCCTTTTTTTTTTGTTTGTGACCTTCTGTTGAAATGACACAGTCTGTTATTTCTGGGCCCTTGCATTTAGGAGGACAGTGGTTTTAAATGGCAGAAGTTACAAAGCTGAAACCTCCATTATGTTTAGGTTGGATGAAATGCACTGAATATCAGTAAAAAATAAATAAAAATCATCACTTCCTTGTGCCTCAGAATGGCATTTTTTATAACTTGACACTAATTTAGGATGAAGCTGACAAAATCCTCTATGAACATATTCACGAAATCTAAATGTGTGAAAATGTCAACAATCAAAATAGAACAGAGGACAAATGAAAACCAAAGATTTCAGAAAATGGAGAAAGGGATAATTCTGCAGACAAAAGGCAGGAAAAGATGGGATGAATGAATAAGTAAACACTAAGATGAGTCCTGTTCTCCGCCTCATGTTTTGGGCATTCTGCAATATAATAACTAAGGTTCCTGTCTGTGTCTATTCTTTTTTTCTTTCTATTTTTTTGGCGGCTAACCAACAGGGGAAAAGGAAGAAGAGAAAAAGGGAAAAGCAGCAAGCAGAGAGCAATGGTAAGTGAGCTACAATTATCTCTCATATTAGAAGAGTCTCATCATGTGTCAGGCAGATGTGACTCCTTGCAAGATAAAAGTCAAGCTAGTGTTTTTGTATCACATTTCTTTGTGTGTGTTATTTTTGCCTGGCTTTTCCTTTTTTTGATAGTTGTGTTATTCAATGCAATATTTAAATGGTAGAGTTGCTAGTACCCCCCTCCCCTCCCTTTCCACATTTTCCACAAACCTCCCTGGCTAATAACAGAATATGCATGAACCCCCCCCCCCTTCTCCTCCTCCTTCCAAAGTCCTTCTCACCCCCACCCCGCCCCATTACCCACCCCTCCTTTGGCTTTTAGCCTTCTGGTATTTTGATATGTGTTTTTGAAATGTCGAAGCATTGTGAGAGCCATTAACTTTGCCATCGTTGTGTGCGTGGCCCTTTTTTGACACCCTGCCTGTGCCCTGCAGATTGATTGCATTCCTGAACCGACTGTGTGCGCGTGTTGGACTGTGCATGGTTGTGGTTGTTGGGTCGCCCCCTCGCTTGCTTCCATGCATGCTTTTTATTAAGACCAATAACTTACATCTTAAAATTAAGGAGGTTTGCTAATTCTGTGACCTATCCATTTTTATTCCTCTGATTCATATTCTTCTGATCATATTGTGAGGAGCTATGCCGACTTGTTATCATGTATTTTTCGCTCGTTTGGTGACGGATTTCTTCTTGAAGGCCTCTCTATCTGTTCTTTTTTTTTCAGAACACAGAGAATATTTTCCAAACCCTTGCCTTTCACTCCCTCCGATTACAGGTGCTAATGTCATTTTGAGTATTAAATTACTAACTGTATATATATACTTTTCTTTTTTTTAAATGGATGTATATTTAATTACCTATGAATGTGCAGTATAAGGCAGGTGTCAGCTTAAATTCTTCACCCTGAAATATGTTCTTTTTGCTTTGTTTGCTGCTTTCTTTTCTTAAAATGTCGCTGTTCATTTTGACTCAAAGCTAGCCTTTATTTTAAATGGATTTACTGTTGGTTATGTAATATGCGTAAGGTGATAGAAAGTTAGCTTGCTTATTGTGAAGGATAAGCTGAAAGGTTTGATGTCAGGGTAAACCTCCTTAATCTGTGCTTCAGTAGCTGCGCCTGTGGCTTTCCTGTAGGTCAGCATGAGTTGGGCCAATCCTCCTTTTTCTAAAAACCGCCTTTGCTCAAACAAGGCCTGGACTCAAACACACCAGCACGGTTTGCTCTGCCCCTGACAGTGACTCTGTGTCAGGGCAGAGCAAACAAGTGACTGGCAGCTGTTCTGCTGCAGCTGGCAGATGCTAATGGGAACCAAATCAACTGTTTGATGCCAGGTCTAAAGAGTAAATTTGTCTTTGGATTCAAGCCTTTTCAATTCTTCCCCTCACTAGGGCTTAGTCGCCCCGTTTCAGCAATCTGATACCAGCTCCTAGTTCTGCTACCTTGACCCTGTCTTTAAATCATAGCGCACTGATAGTATCTAACAGCAAATTAATCCCACCTGCATTTGCTCCGTTTATACCCTCTCAATCAATTAAAAGCACTATCTTATCTCCTGCTTTAACTTCTGTCAGACTTTAGATTTTGTGACTGAAAGTGATTGTGTTAATATTAATGTCATAATTTAATAATATGCATGCATTTTGATTTTTTACTAATGTCTGGAATAAATTCCCGTCTTTAATGGCTGTAGGTGGGTTTTTGGAGGGATTTCTTGCTCAATGAGCCACTGCTAAGCTTCATAGATTCACCATTATCTGTTTTTTTCTCCTTATTTCTCTCCTCTTTTTGGTTTCCCTTATTCTATTGGTTTGGGTTCTATTCCTCCTCTCTGCTGGCTTCTCCTTCCTTGTTGTGGCATCAGACCTGAGCGCTCCTAAGAAGTGTCGAGCGCGCTTTGGGCTCGATCAACAGAATAACTGGTGTGGCCCGTGCAGGTGTGTATGGTGTGTGCTTGCACTGGCCAGGGCCGGGTGAAGGCTGGGTAACTCTACGCTGGGACTTCCTCCCCCCTGCTCTAGGCTGCTCCTCTCCCTCTTCACCTTCCTCCCTGTCTGTCCCGCCAGGCTGTTGAGACCTCTAAGCTTCCTCCAGCCATGTCCTGCCGGTCTATCTTTGGGTTCACACTATTTGATTTAATCTTCCTGTTTATGGGGGAAAAAGGCTATTAACGGCATATGTTTGGATGGATGTTGTCAGTGTGTATGCACGGCTAAGAGTTACAGGACAAACGGTAAAAAATAAACCTCACTGAGGTTGGTGGGAAGATGTAAACTGGCAGGTCGAGGCTTGGAGGATCTTGAGTCCGATGGCCTGGTCAATACGGAGGTCATCCTAGTGTTGCCCACCTAAACTAAGCCCTGGCTACATTTTTTTGTCCGTGCAATGACGTGTCCATTTTCTTTTTTCTTTCTTTCTTTTTTTATTTTTATGTTTTGTTTTTTCTGTCTGTGTGTGTGTTTGTGTCTACCTCTTTGGCTAACAGATGCAAATACCCCAAAGAAGTGTCGTGCCTTGTTCGGGCTTGACCAGCTGAGTTTATGGTGCAAACCATGCAGGTATAACTGCTGTAGTACCAGTGGGAGGAAGACATTCCACAATGAGCATCTTCTTCTTGATTATTTGGCTTACATGTCTTCCTGAAACATTATTCCATCAGTGTGGTGACAGATGGAAAACTCCTCTTCCTCACTGAGAAATTTCCTTCTCCTCTAAATTCCTGCACAGCTATTTTCCCCCTTTTGCTGAACTCAGTTCAAGCCCAGTGACAGAAAATGGATTTCAGCACAAGGCAGCTCAGTCATTTTTCAAGTTTTTGGTCGTAAAATTGGTGTCCGTCATATATTTGGTATCATGTTTTCATCCATTCAAAGTAGTTGTGATTGAAATCCATTTTCTGTCCGAGCAGCGGGTAATCCCCTCACCTCCTAACTGTCATGTATGTTTTAATTGGCGTCCCTCTGAATAACAATGTTATGCTGACAAATTTAGCCCTGCTTTCTCTGAGGGCCTGTTCAGTGACACTCTTTTCTGTGCCCTCTTCCTCCTCCTTCTCCACCTCTTCTTCCTCCAAACTCCTCTTCAATAACCCTTACTTAGTCCCTACCTGTTGTCTTTCTGTTCTGACACAAGCAGTCTTTGAATTGGGAATATTTTCATGGTAGGTATTTGTTTCTGCTGAGTAATACCCTTCTTTGTGTCTGGCTTGCACCACACAACCCTCCCCCCCCCCCCCCCCCACTCTTTCTTGACACAACTCATCGCTAATCACTGCAACATACGTTTCCTGCCGTCAGGTTTCAAACATTCTCGTGAATAGGCTCAGAATAGAACTCAGGACTCCAATATCTTTTTCATTTTTTTGTCCTCGCACGACACTCTTAATCACCGTTGTATCCCCTTCAGCTCACACACACACCTTATCAAAAATATGGTGTTATTCCTAAAAGAATAAAAGTGCATCGTAAGATTAAGAGACTGAAAAGTGCTGTAATTCACTCAGCGAGGTTAGAAGTTCTCTCTGGGCTCCATTTCCTAAAAGATGCATCTGGTATAATTTCCCCCGAGACAGAGAATCAATACCGTACACAGGCACATACTATAAATCAATATGTCTGTTAAAAAATGGATATTAGCTCATTTGTTGCAGCTTGACAGACAGTTACTGAGGCCATGATGTGTATGTAGTAGCAAAACGATACCTTTTTAGCCCCGGTCGATGTCCCACACCATCCCGAGCTACAGTATCAGCGCAGACTGCACTCACCAGCCTCATCCTCACCCCTTTCCAGTGTCCCAGACTGTCTGATGTTGTGTGTGTCTGTGTACATTGTTGGATTCATCAGAAATGCATGCTCCTTTTTCACCCGGAACGTGATCAAAGTTTCATGGTCGTCTGTATTTTGTTGATGTTCCTCTTTATCTTCAATCTGAGTGGTTTGCTCTCTGCATTCTTAAGGTAGCCCCTTTAGAATAATCGGAAAAAAAATCTTAAAACGCATCTGAAATATATCCGGAAGAGTGGGTTGTTGCTTTTAAACTCCTTCGTCTGTTTTTAACTACTTCATGTCCCATTAAAGCTTAAATACCCCATAGCCCGAGGCATCCTCGTGATAGAATTCAGAGCTCAGAGACATGGGTCACTTCAAGGGTCAGCGTAAAGATGAAGTGGGCAGAGATTCCCCCTTAACCAAATCTGAACTCAGCCTTCGCAGCAGAGTCACCGCAGACAAATGCAGCAACACTCTACCCTCCCAACTCCCCCTCACTCCAGTTTTTTCGTCCACCGAGCACAATGGGCCTGGCCTCAGGATCCGGCATGCAGGGGGAGGGTGCCAACCCCGGGCAGGAATGTAAACATGATGCCTTGACCCCTCTCGCACACTCACACTCGTGTCTGTGGGGCAGATGCAGGGTAGCGTGGTCTTGTTGACTTCTTTTTTTTTTTTTTTGCCTCGTATCCAAACTCCGCACCCTCAGGAGAAGAGAGAGTGGAGCCTAGTGGAAATATAGGAGCCAGATTGGTCCAGTAACCTGGAGGTGCTTGAGAGAACACACTGATCTGGAGCTGCAGTCTGGTCCTCTTAAACAAAAAAAACAAAAAAAAAAGTGTTTCAATTCAGAGAGCAAACATTACCTCATCTACTCTGCTTCCTTTTTGTCCTTTCACTTTCATTTGTGGATGTGCTCTCCTCTCCCCTGCTTCTCGTCCAGGTGCCTCACCTGTGGTCTTTTCTGAATGTCTGTCCTGTCTGATGGTGTAGTCTTTCTGCTATCTCCCCCTTAGCACAGGGTTTCTAAAGCTACTTAAATGCACCTAAATCTTACAGACGGTTGCATTTAAGTCAGCTGCGGTGCTAAGGGGGTCAGGCAGTGTCAAGACTTGAAGCTTAAAGATGCTCTCTCTCTCACCTTGTCCCCCAGGAGAAAAAAAAAGTGCATTCGCTACATCCAAGGTGAAGGCAGCTGTGCCAGTCCTCCCTCTACGGACGGAAGCTTACTAGACTCCCCCCCATCCTCCCCCTCCTCAGTGGCCCCCTCCCCCTCCTCAAAAGAATCCAAACCTCAGACTGAACAAATGCAACCTCTCTCACTGACTATGAAACCGGCCCACCAGCCTCTCCATCACCCGCACCTCCTGGCCGGGCCCCCGCCGCCTTCTTTGGTTCAGCTGGAAAACTCTGCGGCGGCGGGCAAAAGGCCCGCCCCCTCCTCCTCCCACAACGGCGCCCTGGAGCACGGCGACGTCTCGTCCTCCCGGCCCCCGGCGGCCCGGCCCCCGGCCTCGCTGTGTCATTCCCACCCGCTCCTCCCCCCCGCCGCCCCCCAGCCTCTGTCACTAGTGACCAAGTCTATAGAATAGTCTACCCTATTCTTCTGTTTTCTGCTCTGCACACACACACACCTTTTCTTAGGCCCTCTTTTTTTTTCCTGTCGGACGTCACCGTCTGTTCTTCTTCTGTTTTTCGTTTCGCTTTCCGTTTCTGTGCCACAAGGCTCCGAAATTTTACTTTTTTTGTTTTATTAAAGTTCATTGGTCAATATTTGACCCATCATTATCAGAAAAAAAAATCTAATTATTATAAAGAAATAAAACGACGAGCTGTAGAATAGCTTTGTGAATCAGCCAAAATTTTAATGATTTTCTTTTCTTTATTTTTTTTTTTTGTAGCGTTAAAACAGTGCAAACAGAAAAATTATTTAGTTCAACTTCAAAATGTTTAAAAGACGGATATAAAAAGGTAGGTTAGATTATTCAACGAGCCCTTTTCTTAAAAGAGTTGGTTCTCCTTTTTTATTTGTATTAAATACGAGCTTGCGAACCAATCATTCGACATCTGTTCAAACTCTTGGAGGGCATGAGGCTGGCGGTGAACCTCTGAGAAACAACTTTAATTGTGATGTTACTTGTTCTTGTTTAAATGTACAGAATATTGGGGAGGGGGGCGATTTACTGTGTTAAATATGCATTCTTCCACTGCGTTGTCCTTTTTTTTTTTCTTTGTTGTTTACCTTTGGGGTGGAGTCAGGCAGGTTTGGGTGGGCTTGAGAGGGTAGGGGGGCGGGTGGGAGGGTTGAGGCTTATTGAATTAAAAAATGTCACAACGCTAGGACCAGTAGTATTTATTGCTTTAGAGATTGCTTGTTGTATCTTGTACGTGTCTCTTTTTGACCCTTTTGTTTTCCTTGATACATTGTACAAATATGTTTTTTCTTAAGGTAAGCAACTATATGAATGATCCATTTTTACAAGGAGGTTTTGAAAAGCAAATCTTTTGTTGTAGATTTCTTTCCTCGCTGAAAACCTGGATTCCACTCAGTGTACTGTGTAGATCACACGAGCAAAAGTATGCACAAGTTCATTTCAAGAAATGCGTCTATAAGCCATTTTACAAAAAGAAGAACAGAAAACTTGAACCTAGAGACAGTGGGTACCGTGCGTTCAGTCGTTGGAAAAGTGTCTAAAGCCCTTCTTTTTTATTGCACAGTCACATCTCCCAGACTGTAGATTCGTGTACAGATTTTCCGTGCCAAATTTGTGATAATTTTTCTCTGCTCCCCCCGCCCCCCCAAAAAACATGCTGTAGGGATCTTTTGTTTTGTTCCGTTGTTGTTTGTTTTGTTTTTTGTTTTTTTTTATACCATTCTTTGCTGTGACGTTACATAGATTGCTATGTATGTAGTATAAATGTTGCTATAACAAATGTGTTTGGTAGCAAATTGTCAAATATTAAAATTTAAACTTAATAAAAAGACGGACATCATACTGTATAAACCCACGAGGGCCAAATTATGTATATTAGGAGGTTCATAAAAAAACTATTAAATACAAAAAAATACACAAACTGCCACTTTTAAGTACACTACTACATATAGGTAGATAGAAAAAATAGGCATGTTGATGTTGCAAGAGGCTGTAAAAAAAGCTACAAGAGAATCATCCACTCGGTGCCATTGTAGTTGACATGACGCGACTGTAATCTGTCGATTTCTTCTCTGGTTTATTAAGATGCTAATGATAAATAGTTTGAATGTTTCCTTAACGGCTGTGATGTTCCTGTTCTATTTTATGCTCTTATCTTTTTGTTTGTTTTTTTTCCTGTTATTTTAAATGGTTCTAAAACCATGTTTTTTTGTAATGAATAAATGTTTATGCTGTACAGTCTCTGTAGCATGCAGTTCTGTATTAATAAAAGCAACTTAGTATGTGCACATCTGTCTTCTCCTTTAATTCTGAAATGCACTGGCCGGTGCCACCGGTCTCTCAGTAGCTCTTGTTCAGATTTTGTGCTTTGTCAAACAATCCAAAAATAAGGAGGCGTCACTTTTCTACCTTTAAAGATATTTTCAGTGAAAAAATGTCAGTGTGTGTTTCCATACACTATGAAACGAACGTAATATGAATGGTATGACTCGTATACTTTTAAAGGACACATGCACCTATTCTGGGTTAAACGCTCGGTAAGAAATTGTTCTTAAGGAGTTATTAGGGGTAAACCCAAGCCAGTGATTTAAAATCAGTTTATATGAAGAATACAGGTAAGGTTGTTTTTTTCCCTAAAGTTCTGCATCAGCTCATTCTCCTCATCACTTTTCTAAAATGTTCTAAACTGCTCCGCCTAAAGACCATCCACCTGTAACGGTTCAGTTACCGTTACACGCTGCTGCCATGACACGACTTGCTCGTGGCACTGATATAAAAACATACAAATGTTAAACAAATTCATCTGAAGTCTTTATTTCTTTAAATGTCTTCTGAGTCATTGATTTTCTGTTTTACACAGTTCAAGTTCCACTACTCTGAACTTGGGTGAGAGATGTGATGAATAAATTATCAGGTAGTTCTCTACAATACCTAAAAGCAGCATCTCCTGATCCCATATATGGCAAAAAACAAAGAAGAATTTCAGATAATGGCATGACAATTAAAGGACCAGGATGTACGGGCAGGTAGAATACCAAAGGAGTCTGTGATGAAAGGGGAAGGGACACAAGCAGGCTCCTAATGTGAACTGTAACTGTGTAAGCTTTACACGGCTTAAACGGGGAGATCTTTAGAGTGGAGCTGTAGTATCGACATTTCAACCAAAGATAGTGTCCAAAAGCACCGTATATGTCTACACAGACCAACGGTGTTTGGTTTTTGCTGCTGTTGAAGTTCACTATTTAGATCACTTTAAAAGCATGACAGATTGCTGGGAGTTGGTGCAATAGAGAGGTTATTTATATAACTGAGCATCTTTGTGGAGGGAAAACGAAATGGTGTAGTTTCTATAGACTGACCTTGAATGCAGCATTCCCATTTCAAAAAAAGAACAGCACAGAGAAGAGACGGTTTTACAGGTACGAAAACTGATGATGGAAAACCCTAACCTGTCTGGAACAACCTTGGATTAAATAATGATAACTTCCAAAGAGGGCCAAAATAAGCTAATAAAAATGTACCTGAGCTAGAAGGAATACTGTTGTCAAAACTACAATTTAATAAAGAGACAGTGTTTGGTTTAAATTGGTCAAACAGCCATTTAACGTGTTGATAAAGCACCCAAACCAGTCTTTTATTCAACGTTCTTCTCAATTTAAACATGTCAATCTACAAGCAAAACAGTGTACAGTAGATAAAAAATAGTGTCATGTACTAATGGTACAAGTCTGGACATATGATTCACTCCAACAGTTCCAGACAGTTATGACAATCTCCTCTTTTTTCAGCTGTCTGCATCAGCAGATTATTTTATTGACAGAATTAACTGAGTTATTGACAGAAAACACAACAGGGCCACGGCCAAAGCAGACTGGAAAACCTAAGTAGTCCCATCTGATCCCGGAAACTTAAGGCTAAACGAATCCCCTTAATTTACACGGTCTTACCACATACAGTCATAGATGTCACTTCAGAATCAGAATCTGTACACCGATCATAAAGTGAAACTTTTCTTTTCCCCACAGGAAGACATTTTTCTCTCTCTTGCCTCCATCTACATGCGAAGGAGATGATGAGCGTCGTGAAACAGAATCACCGGGGCTGATAACTGGGTGATTTGTGCGGGAACACTTTCCACTGTGTTTTCGGTGTAGGTTTCTTAAAGAGCAGAGCTTTCGTCAGAAACTCAACAAGGCCCTGAACACTTTCATCACTTCAAAACTGTCCATGTGAAAGAGGCTGTTCGAAATGTTTTAAGAAAGATTTATTTTTCCACTTTGTATAAAACCATTTTCTCACCGTTTCTTTTACTGTATCAGAATTACACAATAACATTGAATTGCAGTCACACCAAGGTTGTGTAAGTGTGTGTGTTTTTTTTTAAGTTGACCTCCACTTAGGTGGCAATCTCAATGGATCAACAACAGTTTTTCAAGAAAACTTGAATCTCTGCGCACTTGCTTACAACCGTGTGCAACGTTTCATGGATTTCCTCCTCGTACCAAGGAGAGCAGCATTGATGTCTTATTCATCTGAAGTTTGCCCAAGTGTACAAAGTAGCTTAACAAACAATGGAAAAGTATCAAAATGCGGCTGAATTAAAGCAAACATGATGTTTTGGAGCGCTGGCATGAGAAAATACGGAAAATAAAATAGCAGAAAGCAACGATTCAGCTGTGATTAAGCAGATGGAGGATTCCTCTTTGTTGCCTTTGAATGTATACAGTGTGTGCACCTAATGTAATTGTGGTGGATGTACCTTGAACTGCAAACCAACAATCAACATGTGATGCTAGAGTGTCCATGACCATTCTATTACATTCAGAGTAAGACGAGAGGCTTTGTGTACCTGGGAAGAGAAATGACGTGTTTTGATGTTGGCATGGCATGAGCAGACAATGTTGAAGGCCATTGCTGCAGGCAAGCATACAAATCAGAAAAAAAAAACATAGCAAAGACATTAAATTTGTCCCCTTGGTTGCAAAAAATAAGACACAAAAGATGTTGTTTGGGATGTTATTTTAGAAGGATGTATACCCTGGACTAAGATCATGGTGGTAGGACATAATTGTAAGGTTAAAGCAGGGGCTGCAGCATAGTATAGATAATAAAAATCTACTTAATGCTAAGAAAGAAAAATGCTACACACATCAACAAAACATCTCATACACACAGTTTACGTCGTCCTTCGTGATAAAATTCTGTAGTCCATTCCAATTAGGTTTCATGTGAAGTTCAAAGAAAAGAGGTTACACGGGTCGCTGTTCACTTTCTTTGTTTTCAAAGATACTTTTTATTATGAAGCCACTTCTGTTTGTGAAAAGAGTTCGCAGCGCTCTCTTTAAGGATAAAAATTAAAACGCTCGAATCGCATGGTTATTTCAAAAGAATATACTGAAACCAATTCCAATGCATTGCAGGCCTGCTATGACCCTCTT